ACGGGTTAGAGAGACGTGAGTCCTCTGTGGTTGCCGGCAATAAAGACCCTGCAATTTGGTGTACTTTTGTCTTGGTGCTAATTTTGTACTCGATCAAATACTTCAGTGTTACAGGTAGTAAAAAGGTAGAAGAAATCATAAGTGGGGGTAGAAGTGGTGCTGGCTTTATATATTTCAGTTGTCAGCTAATTTTTGTGTTATTGGACATGGGGAACATTGTTATTGAAATGGAGTATGTTAGGTGTATGTAAAAGTAGAAGTTTATTAGTATTAATATAGCTATAGTAAGAGGAAAGATGAGATTATTATTTTTTGTAAGTTCTCGTATAATAGCTCATTTAGGAGAAAAGCCTGTTAGTGGGGATAGGCCTCCTAAAGATATTATTATTATTGGAATTATGGGCATTATTCAGGTGTGGGATAGTGATAGAGTTGTTACATTTGAGCTTAAATAGAAAATTGTGAATATAGAGGTTGTTAAGAAGATATAGATGAGTAAGCTTAGAATGGTAATGTTTGGGTCATAGAATAGTACTGCTATCATTCACCCTATATGGGCGATTGAGGAGTAAGCTAGGATTTTGTGTAGTTGTGTTTGGTTAAGTCCCCCTCAGCTGCCAATTATAATTGATAGAATTGAGATTGCTAAGAGAATATTTAAGTTGATGGACGGGAAGATTTGAATAATAATTGATATAGGGGCTAGTTTTTGTCATGTAAGAATGAGTATGGTGGGGATTATGGAGATGCCTTGGGTTACTTTTGGGAGTCAGGAGTGAAGCGGGGCTATTCCTAGTTTTATTACTAGGGCGATTAGTATTACTATAGATAGAATTTGATTAAGGGGTGGGTTAATTGTTCATTGTCCGGAAGATAGGTTGTTGAGAAAGATGGCTATTAGGAGGATTATAGATGCGGTTGCTTGTATTAGGAAATATTTATTGGATGCTTCTGTGGAGTGGGAGCATGTGTTTTTAGCTAGTATTGGTATGATGGCTAATATATTTGATTCTAAGCCTATTCAGATTAGAAATCAGTGTGAGCTTAAAATTGTAATTGTGATTCCTATTAGGATGGTAAGGGAGATAATGAGGTGGGCTAGGGGGTTGATATTAGTACAGGAAGGGTTAAACCAACATTTTTGGAGTATGGGCCCGATAGCTTATTTAGCTGACCTTACTACTTAGAATATGGTGTAATAGGTAGCATGGAGAGTTTTGAGTTCTCAGGTATGGGTTCACTTCCTATAGTTCCAGAAATAAGAGGATTTAAACCTCTATAATTTACTCTATCAAAGTAATTCTTTTGTCAGACATATTTCTTATGTTTGGGGTAGAATACCAGATGTTAGGATAGGTATTGAAATATATTATATGCATAGTGCTAGTGTAAGTGGTAAAAATTTTTTTCATAGGAGATGTATTAATTGATCATAGCGAAATCGGGGGTATGCAGTTCGGATTCATAAAAATTGGGTGGTTAATAGAAGGGTTTTGATTATAAAATTTATTGTGTAGAGTTCTGATATAGTTACATTGTAGGATGCTGCTATAAAGATGGTAGTGGTTAGGACATTTATTATAATAGTATTTATATATTCTGCTATGAAGAATAGAGCAAATGAGCCTGCAGCATA